TTTTGGTCCAAAAATGGCCATTTTTCCAACTTTTTTTTTTAGGCAATATAGGCCAGGAAAATGTCTTTTATGATATTCTAGAACGAAAAAACACCTTTCTAGGCTATAAAAACATGAAGTCCAAAAAGTCGAAAAATTGACATTTTTCCAAAGGGGTTAACCCATGGTTTTGGTCCAAAAATGGCCATTTTTCCAACTTTTTTTTTTTAGGCAATATAGGGCAGGAAAATGTCTTTTATAATATTCTAGAACGAAAAAACACTTTTCTAGGCTATAAAAACATGAAGTCCAAAAAGTCGAAAAATTGACATTTTTCCAAAGGGGTTAACCCATGGTTTTGGTCCAAAAATGGCCGTTTTTCCAACTTTTTTTTTTAGGCAATATAGGGCAGGAAAAGGACTTTTATCATATTCTAGAACAAAGAAACACCTTTCTAGGCTATAAAATCATAAAGTCCAAAAAGTCGAAAAATTGATATTTTTCCAAAGGGGTTAACCCATGGTTTGGTCCAAAAATGGCCATTTTTCCAACTTTTTTTTTTAGGCAATATAGGGCAGGAAAATGACTTTTATCATATTCTAGAACGAAAAAACACCTTTCTAGGCTATAAAAACATGAAGTCCAAAAAGTCGAAAAATTGACATTTTTCCAAAGGGGTTAACCCATGGTTTTGGTCCAAAAATGGCCATTTTTGCAGCTTTTTTTTTTTAGGCAATATAGGCCAGGAAAATGTCTTTTATGATATTCTAGAACGAAAAAACACCTTTCTAGGCTATAAAAACATGAAGTCCAAAAAGTCGAAAAATTGACATTTTTCCAAAGGGGTTAACCCATGGTTTTGGTCCAAAAATGGCCATTTTTGCAACTTTTTTTTTTTAGGCAATATAGGCCAGGAAAATGTCTTTTATGATATTCTAGAAAGAAAAAACACCTTTCTAGGCTATAAAAACATGAAGTCCAAAAAGTCGAAAAATTGACATTTTTCCAAAGGGGTTAACCCATGGTTTTGGTCCAAAAATGGCCATTTTTCCAACTTTTTTTTTTTAGGCAATATAGGCCAGGAAAATGTCTTTTATGATATTCTAGAACGAGAAAACACCTTTCTAGGCTTTAAAAACGTGAAGTCCAAAAAGTCGAAAAATTGACATTTTTCCAAAGGGGTTAACGCATGGTTTTGGTCCAAAAATGGCCATTTTTGCAACTTTTTTTTTTCAGGCAATATAGGCCAGGAAAATGTCTTTTATGATATTCTAGAACGAAAAAACACCTTTCTAGGGTATAAAAACATGAAGTCGAAAAAGTCGAAAAATTGACATTTTTCCAAAGGGGTTAACCCATGGTTTTGGTCCAAAAATGGCCATTTTTACATCACGATACCTTTCCGAAAGTAATATATTGCGGATTTACTAATCTCGCGAACTTAGGTAGTCGAGGGGTAATTAGCTCCGGGTCGCACTAGTTTTACGAAGAGACAATGTACTCATATGGCTGGATAAAATTGGCCACTATTGTGACGTATTTATTAATATAACAATAAAAAGTCACGCCACGCTTAACAAACTAATCAGATCGTGACGTGACATGGAAAAAATTAAGTAATTGAATGTTTCTTCGGAAAAGGTGGGGAAGAAATAACCGCCTTCCGAGAGAGAACTAAACACTGGCTGGCGAAGAGGGGGAGGTAGGTGGGAAAATTTGAACAGATAACTTGCCACACGATGGTGTAGAGGTAGAAAGGGGCCCTCGTATTCGCGCAACGTACTATAAAGCAATGCTCGATCACATGTTACCTAGTACCCAGTTCACGCAGCCAGTGCTTGATAACAACAGGTATCCCGACGCAAAAATGTAATTATGTTTGGGACATAATTTTTTTTTTACATCACGATACCTTTCCGAAAGTAATATATTGCGGATTTACTAATCTCGCGAACTTAGGTAGTCGAGGGTAATTAGCTCCGGGTCGCACTAGTTTTACGAAGAGACAATGTACTCATATGGCTGGATAAAATTGGCCACTATTGTGACGTATTTATTAATATAACAATAAAAAGTCACGCCACGCTTAACAAACTAATCAGATCGTGACGTGACATGGAAAAAAAAATTAAGTAATTGAATGTCTCTTCGGAAAAGGTGGGGAAGAAATAACCGCCACAAGGCACACAGCGTGTGACCACCCACCAAGATCCGGAACTAAGAACCCCGAGGAATATTTTAACTGAAAACAGCGAGGATATAAGAAAATCTTGTAAAGTACGGTCATTTCCAGCAGCCCCTGGCTGACCTAGTCATGAACCGCACGCGAACTGACATTGAAAACAGAGGTTAAATAACATAGCAATTCGTGCCAGGACCGTAGCTCCTTCGTAGGACAGATAACCTATTGATAAAGCAGTACATGAGAACAGATTGGTAAAGTACATAGTAAGTGATAGCGGAAAGAGTCCACAGTGAAAAACCCTTTCAGTATGGCAGCCCCTGACTGACCCACGCATCAGAGAATCCACCGTGGCCCGTGAAAGCTAACCAGAGATGAAGACAAAAAATACTGGTCCCATAACGGATGTTTAAATAGCCGTAGTGAAAATCACCACTGCATAGCAGCTCCTGACTGACCTATACAACGGCGATCCAACCGCGGCTTGACTAGTGTCTTTGAAACGTTTAAAAACAATTAGTTAGCCTTGAGTGAAGGCGGACGAATGTAAGTTCTAAAAGCGTCCGAACTCCATCTACCTAGGGCACGTATTTGCGAATCCGAAAAACCTTTCTCAGACGCATGGCACGCTGCACCAATGCGAAAGCTATGGCTCTTGTAGCGAGAACAATCAAGGCCGCAAAAGTTCAAAGCACGACGGAGCTCAGTGTTAAAATTATTTGTCGAGATTGCCCCGCCGGCTGCACACGTGAACAAGGGGCCTTTATGGTAACCCCTAAGTTTAATGTAGTCGATTAAGGTCTGCACGGGGCAAAACGGTTCTGAAGGTTCGCTTTCTATTGTTATGACAAACGGCCGATTATTCGTGTTGTGTTTAAACTTAGTGATCACAATCTTGACAGCCGTCACTCGAGAAGATTGTTTCAAAAAAGTGACTTGATCAAATTGCACAACGGTGTCAACTTGCTGCTTACTATTGCAAGATAATTCACCTATTCTGAAGAAACCATAAAATGCTGTCATGAACATTGCCCCGAACAGAGATCTACGATAGGCAGATGGGCTAGTATGCTGTAAAGCTCTAACTAATTCGTACAATAATGGACGTGAAATGGGCATACGAACATCGGCTTGACCACGGCGGCCAACGGCCACAAGAAGCTTTTCAACTAAAAATGATTTGGTCGGGTCGAAACAGAGAGACACATTGATTGCTCATTTGACATGCCCACACGTGGAGCGAGATAGTAATCGGAAAGAGCTCCAAAAATGCAATGTTCAATGATTTCCAATTGGCAGGCCATTCTCCGTAAAACCAATGTTTCCCAAAAAGTGCGCCATAGCCCTTTGAGCCGGCGACGTCGGTGTAAAGGTTGAGAGGCGGTGAAACCTGCCACGGATCGTCCAGAAAAAATGCACGGCCGTTAAAATCTCTTAAAAATTGAAGCCATACTAATAAATCTCGACGACAGGCTTCAGTAATCCGTATACGATGGCGAGGGAGACGGACACCCTTTGTGAGATCAACAAGCCGCCGAAGAAAGGCCCGACCAGGTAGAACAACTGAACAAGTAAAATTTAATAATCCAATCAAAGATTGAAGTTCTTTCAGGGTAGTTTTACGGCGTCTGTGCATGTCCAATAACTGAGCATTGCATTTTTGAAGCTTATCGTCCGGCAGACGTGCTTCCATATTAATCGTGTCGAGTGTTATCCCAGCAAACTGTAAAGTGGTTGAAGGACCTTCCGTTTTTTTCATGTGCTATAGGTACCCCTAAACTATCACACAGGCTCAAAAAGTTGTTTAAATCGGAGGCACATTTGCCTTGAGAGGTAGCAATAAACAAGAAATCATCAAAATATGCAAAACACCGGAAACACAGAGATAATGTTTAGCAAGCCACTCGAGCGCAGTGCTAAAAGCTTCAAATATAGCGCAAGACGAAGAACAGCCCATGGGCAGACACCGGTCAAAAAAAGTACGAATTATTCCATGTCATACCCAGTAAATGGTAATCGTCAGGGTGAATCGGAATAATGCGGAAAGCTGATTTTATATCGGTCTTGGCCATGTAGCAGCCCCTACCTAACGACTTAATGAGTGTAATAGCATCACCTATTGAAGCATATTGAACCGACGAAAATTGATCCGGAATAAAATCATTCACCGACGAGCCATCTGGGTATGACAAATGGTGGATAATACGAAATTCCCCTGGGTTTTTTCTTTGGAACTACGCCTAAAGGTGAAGAAATAAAATTATCAAAAGGTGGACGAGAAAATGGACCTACAATTCTCCCAGCGCACCATTCTTTCTCAAGTTTAGCAGCTAAAATTTCAGGTTGGTCCTTCGCACTGCGCAAATTTGAAGCAAGACGTAATTGGCTAGTACCAACAAACCCAACGCGAAATCAAACGAAAAGCCATCAATCAAAAATTGCTTAAGACGAGGGTCGTATTGTTGTAAAAGGGGCTAAGGGTGGATACTTTTACCGGCGTTACTGGCGGGCTGTTTATTATGCGATGGAGTTGCGATAGTTCTATCTCCGGCTGGTTTGGGAATGTTCGAGGCAGATTGACGGGACGTAGCTGCATGTCTACCACCACATTTGGAGCATTTATGGTCATATCTGCAGCCCGCACAGGGACGACCGGCGTTGAACGTGAAACACACCCCTCTGACCATTGATTGTTTTCCCCCTGAACCTCGAGTTGGGTTTGTCGGTTGCAAAATATCCAGATTTGGCACGAAAAGTCACCGCGCGATGCCATAACTCCCAATGTACCACTCCCCAAGGGTACGTTTGTGGGTTGCCTTGACGAAGATACCGGAACTGTTCATCGTAATAGTTCCAGTCCCCCACGTGTGGCGATGTCGCGCACTGTTTCGCAAAATTGCATCAAATTTGGCGTCTCTCTGGGGAATTTTTCGCAGTAGACTGCAACAAAAGAGTGGAAGGCCGACACCCACTCGTGAATAGACGTCAATTTCTTCGCATTGTGTACCGGTTCGAATGTAAAATTAGGGGTTTTAGACCCAATTCCGGCGGTGGGAGCGGTGATAGATAATGCGAACTTATCCGGATTAGGGGACATATCTAGAAGAGAGCCAAAGTTGACGAATTCCTCCGCCCAGATCTTATTCTTTAGGCGTGCACTCAAGCGGCTACCTAAGGGTACACCTATACTAGAAAATAAAGGCGCACTGGGTAATATCTCGCTACCTGACGACTCAACGGCCCCAACTGGAGTATTGGTGAGGGACTGCACATCGCGTTGCACTGCGTCGGTGACCAGATTGATGGAACGGGAAGAATTCTGAGCCGCGTTGGTCGACTGTATCGCCGTTGTCACTGCAGCGACAATAGACGAAACCATTGCATCAGAAAGGCCCTCCGATCCCACACCAGATGCAGACGCCTCAACAGCCGCTTGGGGGGGATTTCGACCGGGTCAGGAACAAATTGGACGCTGACGGTATCGTCTGACGGTCCTGCTGTTCGTCGCGATTTCCTTCGTGGCGGCATGCTGATTAATAAGGCCTATAAAACTTAGCTAGAGTTAATTCGGACATGTTATAGGCAAAGTCGGGATTAGACAACAAGGAGAATCAGGGGGCAGAATGCATTGTACGCTAATTCAAAAATGCAGGATGCCCATTAACCAGCTACAACAATCGTATGTCATCATATGTGATGGGAGAGCGTCAGTCACGGGCCGATCACATAGGTATCTATAAAGACACATGTAAAAGCGTTAATAGCTGGAGTGAATTGGGCACGTCAACGACGGCCGGATTTGGTTGTCACTCAGGCACATAACGCAACAAATTCCAAAGACAATGATTGACATAAATCAGGGATGGGCATCACACAGGAATGCACAGAATCCCAAAGCAACTATTAAATTGCAACAAAAGCACATGGAAAGAACATAAAAAGACACCAAAAGCCCACTGAACGCAACTCCTTGGCCAAGGCTATGAACTTGCCAAAAATTAAAACTGGTTGGGCAAGAAATTCCTTATGTTTTTATGCGTTTTAAACAATGCAGTACTGCCCCCCTTACACTCCTGTACAGTTTATGCTGCCCTTCTGTATTTAAGTGGACACCATCGTATGACAAGTATGAACGGGAAGCCCGCCAAAATCCCCGATGCGTCCAATATATGGCAAAGGGAGCGGTTCTAAGACCCCTTGAAGGTACTGCGCCGGGATTTGTACGTTTGCATTGAACGTTCCAACCGGGTGCCTTTTAACGGTTTGACCAACACAAACTAAACGAACCCCGTACTCATTATGAAGTAAGCAGACCAAATCCTCGATGGCAGAGCCAACAGATGCTGGAGAGGACCGACGGCGTGTGAGGTCGTTAGTACCGATTTGTAAAAGTACAACATCAGGTTTAAAACGTTCTACTTCGGTTAAATCAAACCGCCTAACCTTATCGATTGTTCGACCCCCAACGCCATGCCAATGAATTGTAACCGGGGTATTAATGTTTAAATTAAGATTATATGTGGGACTATTCCTAATAATAAAATCCCGGAGCCTACGTATAAAGGAGTGACCCAAAATCAGAACCCTCGGCTGTTCCATACCGACAAAAAAGAAAAACACAAAAGAACTTGCCTGAAAAATTTGAACAGATAACTTGCCACACGATGGTGTAGAGGTAGAAAGGGGCCCTCGTATTCGCGCAACGTACTATAAAGCAATGCTCGATCACATGTTACCTAGTACCCAGTTCACGCAGCCAGTGCTTGATAACAACAGGTATCCCGACGCAAAAATGTAATTATGTTAGGGACATAATTTTTTGTTTTTCCAACTTTTTTTTTTAGGCAATATAGGGCAGGAAAATGACTTTTATCATATTCTAGAACGAAAAAACACCTTTCTAGGCTATAAAATCATGAAGTCCAAAAAGTCGAAAAATTGACATTTTTCCAAAGGGGTTAACCCATGGTTTTGGTCCAAAAATGGCCATTTTTCCAACTTTTTTTTTTAGGCAATATAGGCCAGGAAAATGTCTTTTATGATATTCTAGAACGAAAAAACACCTTTCTAGGCTATAAAAACATGAAGTCCAAAAAGTCGAAAAATTGACATTTTTACAAAGGGGTTAACCCATGGTTTTGGTCCAAAAATGGCCATTTTTCCAACTTTTTTTTTTTAGGCAATATAGGCCAGGAAAATGTCTTTTATGATATTCTAGAACGAAAAAAAACCTTTCTAGGCTATAAAAACATGAAGTCCAAAAAGTCGAAAAATTGACATTTTTCCAAAGGGGTTAACCCATGGTTTTGGTCCAAAAATGGCCATTTTTCCAACTTTTTTTTTTAGGCAATATAGGCCAGGAAAATGTCTTTTATGATATTCTAGAAAAAAAAACACCTTTCTAGGCTATAAAAACATGAAGTCCAAAAAGTCGAAAAATTGACATTTTACAAAGGGGTTAACCCATGGTTTTGGTCCAAAAAATGGCCATTTTTCCAACTTTTTTTTTTAGGCAATATAGGCCAGGAAAATGTCTTTTATGATATTCTAGAACGAAAAAAAAAACCTTTCTAGGCTATAAAACATGAAGTCCAAAAAGTCGAAAAATTGACATTTTTCCAAAGGGGTTAACCCATGGTTTTGGTCCAAAAATGGCCATTTTTGCAACTTTTTTTTAGGCAATATAGGCCAGGAAAATGTCTTTTATGATATTCTAGAACGAAAAAACACCTTTCTAGGCTATAAAAACATGAAGTCAAAAAGTCGAAAAATTGACATTTTTCCAAACGGGTTAACCATGGTTTTGGTCAAAAATGGCCATTTTTCCAACTTTTTTTTTTAGGCAATATAGGCCAGGAAAATGTCTTTTATGATATTCTAGAACGAAAAAACACTTTTCTAGGCTATAAAAACATGAAGTCCAAAAAAGTCGAAAAAATTGACATTTTTCCAAAGGGGATAACCCATGGTTTTGGTCCAAAATGGCCATTTTTCCAACTTTTTTTTTTAGGCAATATAAGCCAGGAAAATGTCTTTTATGATATTCTAGAACGAAAAAACACCTTTCTAGGCTATAAAAACATGAAGTCCAAAAAGTCGAAAAAATTGACATTTTACAAAGGGGTTAACCCATGGTTTTGGTCCAAAAATGGCCATTTTTCCAACTTTTTTTTTTTAGGCAATATAGGCCAGGAAAATGTCTTTTATGATATTCTAGAAAGAAAAAACACCTTTCTAGGCTATAAAAACATGAAGTCGAAAAAGTCGAAAAATTGACATTTTTCCAAAGGGGTTAACCCATGGTTTTGGTCCAAAAATGGCCATTTTTCCAACTTTTTTTTTAGGCAATATAGGCCAGGAAAATGTCTTTTATGATATTCTAGAACGAAAAAACACCTTTCTAGGCTATAAAAACATGAAGTCGAAAAAGTCGAAAAATTGACATTTTTCCAAAGGGGTTAACCATGGTTTTGGTCAAAAATGGCCATTTTTCCAACTTTTTTTTAGGCAATATAGGCCAGGAAAATGTCTTTTATGATATTCTAGAACGAAAAACACCTTTCTAGGCTATAAAAACATGAAGTCTGGGAACGAAAAAAAAGTCGAAAAATTGACATTTTTCCAAAGGGTTAACCCATGGTTTTGGTCCAAAATGGCCATTTTTCCAACTTTTTTTTTAGGCAATATAGGCCAGGAAAATGTCTTTTATGATATTCTAGAACGAAAAAACACCTTTCTAGGCTATAAAAACACATGAGTCGAAAAAAAAAGTCGAAAAATTGACATTTTTTCCAAAGGGGGTTAACCCATGGTTTTGGTCCAAAAATGGCCATTTTTCCATGGTTTTTGGTCCAAAAATTTTTTTTTTTTTAGGCAATATAGGCCAGGAAAATGTCTTTTATGATATTCTAGAACGAAAAACACCTTTCTAGGCTATAAAAACATGAAGTCCAAAAAGTCGAAAAATTGACATTTTTCCAAAGGGGTTAACCCATGGTTTTGGTCAAAAATGGCCATTTTTCCAACTTTTTTTTTAGGCAATATAGGCCAGGAAAATGTCTTTTATGATATTCTAGAACGAAAAAAACACCTTTCTAGGCTATAAAAACATGAAGTCAAAAAGTCGAAAAATTGACATTTTTCCAAAGGGGTTAACCCATGGTTTTGGTCCAAAATGGCCATTTTTCCAACTTTTTTTAGGCAATATAGGCCAGGAAAATGTCTTTTATGATATTCTAGAACGAAAAAACACCTTTCTAGGCTATAAAAACATGAAGTCGAAAAAGTCGAAAAATTGACATTTTTCCAAAGGGTTAACCATGGTTTTGGTCAAAAATGGCCATTTTTCCAACTTTTTTTTTTAAGCCAGGGAAAATGTTTTTTTTCTAGGCAATATAGGCCAGGAAAATGTTTTTATGATATTCTAGAACGAAAAACACCTTTCTAGGCTATAAAAACATGAAGTCCAAAAAGTCGAAAAATTGACATTTTTCCAAAGGGGTTAACCCATGGTTTTGGTCCAAAAATGGCCATTTTTCCAACTTTTTTTTTTTTAGGCAATATAGGCCAGGAAAATGTCTTTTATGATATTCTAGAACGAAAAAACACCTTTCTAGGCTATAAAAACATGTCAAGTCGAAAAATTGACAAAAGTCATGGAAAAATTGACACTTTTTTTTTCCAAAAATGGGTTAACGAAAAAACCATGGCTTTTGGTCCAAAAAGTCGAAAAAATGGCCATGGTTTTTCCAAATTTTTTTTTTTTAGGCAATATAGGCCAGGAAAATGTCTTTTATGATATTCTAGAACGAAAAAAACACCTTTCTAGGCTATAAAAACATGAAGTCAAAAAGTCGAAAAATTGACATTTTTCCAAAGGGGTTAACCATGGTTTTGGTACAAAATGGCCATTTTTCCAACTTTTTTTTTAGGCAATATAGGCCAGGAAAATGTCTTTTACGATATTATAGAACCAAAAAACACCTTTCTAGGATGTAAAAAAAAAAGGTCAAAAAGTCGAAAAATTGACATTTTTCCAAAGGGGTTAACCCATGGTTTTGGTCCAAAAATTGCCAGTTTTCCAATTTTTTTTTTAGGCAATATAGACCAGGAAAATGTCTTTAACGATATTCTAGAACCAAAAACACCTTTCTAGGCTATAAAAACTCAAAGTTCAAAAAGTCGAAAAATTGACATTTTTCCAAAGGGGTTACCCATGGTTTTGGTCCAAAAATGGCCATTTTTCCAACTTTTTTTAGGCAATATAGGGCAGGAAAATGACTTTTATCATATTCTAGAACGAAAAAACACCTTTCTAGGCTATAAAAACATGAAGTCCAAAAAGTCGAAAAATTGACATTTTTCCAAAGGGGTTAACCC